GGATCCCATGGATGGGTTTCCCATGTCAGATCCCATTCCCGGATCCCATGGATGCAGGTTTAGGGCTCATTTCTGGAATGGGTGCCTCCCACACTCGCTGTGCTGTAGCTCTGTCCAGCCTGGCTCGTGCAGGGCGTTCCTGGGACAGCTGGTTTGGAATGGGAGCAGCTTGCCCGGGTCCTGGGGAGCAGTCACAGCACTGGGGCTTGCTCACACCCTGGAGGGTTGTCTGACAGGAACTTGCTTTTCTTTTCTCTGAAGACGAGGGAGAAAATAGTGGTAGAACAGTATCAGGGCACCATTGCCTAGGTAAAAAGTATTGGGAGATGGGAATTTTTAAAATAATAATTGTACTGCATAGTTTCTGTCCCTTGTACCTGAGGGACTTGAGATACAGACAGGGAAAACATGAAAGGCACGTACTTGAGCTTCTGGAAGTTTGCTGTGGGAACAGTAACAAATGGAACAGTAAGTTGAAAATACAAAGTGTCAGAGACTGGCTTTTAAATAAATTTGTAGTTCACTCTGAGGAGGGGCAGCACATCCTGGCGTTGATTGACATGGCACTGGTGCAGTGAAATCTATTACACTATTTATCCAGAGGTTTCAGATATTTGAGGGATTCTTCCCAGAGAACACAGCAGTAAACACTTCCTGATTAGTTTTTATGGTGGTCAAATAGATATTTTTTTAAAATGTGAATTCCTCAGACATGTATCTGTCACATTTTTCCTACGTTCCTCCTCTGTAAGGGAAATTCACCAAAGAATTCGTTGCTTCTGGTATGAATTTCTGCCCTTTCTTCTGTGGGGCTCAGTCTTGTTCCCCCCTCTGCTCTGTTCCTCTCAGGATGTGGGGCTGGGGGCTGCTCTGGCCCGTGGCACCCCCAGGACCAGGAGCTGCAGCACCAGCAGTGCCTGGCCCAGGTGTGCAGGAGCTGTGTGACACCCAGGAATGGGTGTCATTCCTGCTCAGGCTGGCAGCTGGGGACGAGTTCTGCCTTGTTGGTCCTTGCAGAGCAGGGTGTGAGCAGCTCTGAGGGGCAGCCCAGGGGCTCTGGAAGGGTCTGCTCAAACCAGCACATGCCCTTGGAAGAGCTGGTACCTGAAAGCAGGGGCTGCCCTGCCCTGTGCCCCTCACTGCTTTGCTCTGAGAGCCCCTGGAGGGGAGCAGGAGCCTGGGGGGCTCCAAGAGCTCGGGTGTCCCTGTGGTGGGAGCCAGGTTCCAGCACTGTCCCCTGACCACACTGCCCCTCCTTGCTCTGTGCTCTCTGTGCTCACCTGCCTCCCCCAGCTGTAAACCTTGACCTGTCGGCCTCTGGAATCTGTTTTGCTCAATTTGGATGAAGTTTCAAGATTTTTATCAAAAAAAGTAGATAATAAGATTTTAAAAAGTAGATAACTAGTTTGATAAAAAAATATTTGTATCAAAGTGTTCTCTGAGATCTTGATGTTTTCAGAGTTGGCCAGGAAATGGGGTTTCTAACCTTTGTTTGCTGTTGCAAGCTCTTTTAAAAGAAAAATGATAAACCTTAGATCCTGTATAATAGATACTGTATAATCTAATCTGAGTTTAAAATAGCAGATAAAAGTGTACGTGTGTGTCAATATTTGACAAAAGCAGATTTCTTCTCGTGGGTCTGGGTCATGAGATGGTTCATAAAGTGTCCCTAAGAAGGCTGGGGACAAACATTTTGGCAGTGCTTGTTGTGATAGCCAAGGGGAGGTGGTTTGAAAGGGAAAGAGGGTCGATTTCCATTAAATATAAAAAGTGTTTTACAGGCAGGGTGGGCAGGGCTGGCACAGGGTGCCCATGGAAGCTGTGGCTGCCCCTGGATCCCTGGCAGTGCCCAAGGCCAGGCTGGACACTGGGACAGTGGGAGGGGTCCCTGAGCATCCAATCCCACCCTGCCATGAACTTTAAGATCCCTTCCAACCCAAAGTATTCTGTGACCTTTCTAAAGGTGCCATAAGCATATTCTTATCAGCTTGAAATATCTTTAAGTGCATTTGAATTGTAGAAAAGTGTTTTCCAAATCTTTGTTACGTTAAAGAACAGACTGTTCTTTGGAAAGAAAGGCAAGTGAATGATCTGGTGATAGGTTAGTTTTTGTGAGACTGAGGTAAAAAGACTTTTAAGGTTCACCTAAAATACACTCCTGTTAAGTGTAAATAGTATATGTCATTCTTGGAAGATTTGCTGAGGAAATTAGGGAGAGTTTGTGTCGCCCTCTCTGTGGCTTGGCTCTGCCATGCACCCACTGCTGCTCAATTTGCAGTGCTCTGTGTTTACCGTGGCCAAATGAGTGCTCTGTGCATTTCCAAATTTACACTCATTTGGTCCCTCACATAATGTTCTCTGCTTAAATGTTTAGTAATTAGTAGAAACCAGGTAGAGTGGTTTTGTCTGACTCATTTTAGATCTGCTTGAGGATGTTTGTTTTTCAAGCTGCTGCAAATATGGTGTTTTTTGTTTTCCAGCTTTATTTTTTTACCTTGCATGTATCCTTCATGCAGTGTTTTCCTTCTCCCTTCCCCACAGTTCGGGTGTATCCACCTACCCAAAAGGTCTATAAATAAATTTGAATGCCGTGTAAAATTGTTTTCTTCTAAGCAGCAGTTGTTTGGCCTCTGTGTATCCGTGCCCAGAGTGCTGGGGACATCCAGTGGCTGCAAAACACTTCACGGCAGTGTTTTGCAAGAGTGCAGTAAAATGTTTGATGATAATCCCCTCGGAGATAATGGGCCTGTCTGCAGCCCCAGGGCTGGTTCTGCTGAGTTTGGAGCTGACCCCGTTGGTCTTTGGCCACTTGGGCCCCTGGCAGGGTCACTGCCCTGGGGTCTCTTAGGCTGTGCTGCTGCAGTCGAAGGGACTTAACAGTGACTTTTCTTTGTGTCCCCCAGGCCTTGCAGTGATGCATTCCCAGAGCACCAACCAGCTGGACGTGGGGAACAACCCCCGTGTGGGCACCAAGCGCTACATGGCCCCGGAGGTGCTGGATGAGAGCATCCAGGCTGACTGCTTCGACTCCTACAAACGGGTGGACATCTGGGCCTTTGGCCTGGTGCTCTGGGAGGTGGCCAGGCGCATGGTCAGCAATGGTGAGTGCTTGGGACCCTCCCCTGGCCTCTAGGAGAGGTGATCCACAGCAAAGCACCTGCCCCAAGGTGCACGGGAACAGCCGGGGCCTCCACAAGGTTTGGTTTGGTTTGGGAAAGCTGAGGAAGCTGCTGGTGTGCTGGCTGCAGTGGCTGAACCCTGTTGCCATTTCTGTTAAAGCAGAGAAGAGAAAGTCCCCTGCTCATTCTAAGTCCTGGTGAGAACTAATTCATACCAAATAGCTAAGGTAGCATTTTATCTCCTATCCTTCTTCCTCGTGTCATTAAATCATAGTGAATATTTGTAGGTGTGTGTTTCTCATGACAAACCCTAAAGAACAGGAAGAAGATAGACAGGAAGTGCAGAAGGTGTCAGAGTTCAGGACTACATTTGCTTTCCTGAGTTGGAAGTAGCTCTGGGCTGTGCTGCCCAGTTCTGGTACTGGACACAGGTACTGCTGCAGCAGCTGCAGCTCCCAGAGGCTTTTCCTGAGCTGCTCTTGAACCAGCAGGGCTGGATGGTGCTGGCAGCCTCCCCAGGTTGGTATGGAGCTCAGACCTACCTGCTTACAGGTGCATGCTCTGAGAATGTGGCTCTGGCTGAGCTCAGTGCCACCATGGGAACACTTATGGTGATGATGCAGATCTGTCTGCACTGCTCCTGTCAGGACAGTCTGAAGTTTCAGGGGCTGCTGATACTGATTGCACAGAACCAGTTGTTCTGTACTGCTGGCAGTTGCTGTAAGTGATTCCATTGCACTGGTTGGGGTGGAGTAAACATCTTCCCTCACCTCTGTGCATTGAGCTGTGTGGGAATCCTTGCTGCTCAGGAGGTCACTCTGATAACCCTGTTTGCTTGGCAGTGAGACTTTGGCCTTGGGAGTGAGCCTGCAGGAGCAAGGGTGTGGTGGTGCTTGGGGGGCCAGAGGCACTGCCCAGCTCCCTGTGCTCCCCTGGGCTCATGGACATGGCTCCAGGACTCGGCCTGATTCAGTGCTTCAGCTCACAGACACCTTGAAGTTGTTCTAACATGACTGCTAAGTCTGGTAGTTCTTAATTTTTGTTTATTTATTCTAATCTATTTTTTTTTTATTTTTGCAATTGTACCCATTGATCCTTCAGGTGACACAGTGGTTCTTGTATTTTCTTGTTTAGTACGAGGAGGAAGATGGGATAGGAAACTCCTTTGGCACAAACAAGTGCCTGTGTGTTGTCTGAGTGCTGCAGGAGGGGCCAGCCAGCTTTTTCTCAGTACTCAGAATGTGATTTCAGTGATTTCAGTCCCCAAAGCCGTGTTTGCCTCTCTTCAAACAGAGCAATGCTGGTTCCCTGCTCTTGGCTTGGTGCTTACCTGGTGCCTGGCACTCACAGCTCAGCTCCTTGGGAATTGTCATGGTTGTTCCAGAGCTGTGCCCTTGTTCAGCAGGGACTGTAAGCCCAGGAGCTCAAAGGAACCTGGCTGGAGCTGCTGCTTTGTGTTGAGTTGAGCAGTGAGATTTGTGCATGCACAGGACAGGCTGGACCTAAAGTCAGCTGAGGGCTGCAGCCCCTCTGGAGCCAGGCTGGGAGAGCTGGGAATGTTCCCCTGGAGAGGAGAAGGATCCAGGGAGAGCTCAGAGCCCCTGGCAGGGCCTGAAGGGGCTCCAGGAGAGCTGGAGAGGGACTGGGGACAAGGCATGGAGGGACAGCACACAGGGAATGGCTCCCACTGCCAGAGGACAGGGATGGATGGGATTTTGGGAAGGATTTGTTCCCTGGCAGGGTGGGCAGGCCCTGGCACAGCTGTGGCTGCCTCTGGATCCCTGGCAGTGCTCAAGGCCAGGCTGGACATTGGGACAGTGGGAGGTGTCCCTGGGATGGGATGGGATGGGATGGGATTTAAGGTCCCTTCCAACCCAAACCGTGCTGGGAGTCCGTGAAGTACCAAGGAGTAAAGGTAAGAAGCCAGTGCAGTTGTGTGAGTTGTGGCAGGTTGGAGAGCAGGAAGCCCCAGCAGAGCGGGGGCTGTGCTGGAGGTGCCAGAGGTCAGCCCCAAGCTGTGCAGAGGCTGTGCAGGCTGTGGGGAGTGCTGGAGGAGCAGGGTGTCCTGGGCAGCGTGTCACGGGTCAGTGACGCTGTGGGACAGAGGTTGAGTGGCTCCCTGGCACCACTGAGGCTCCCCGGGGGCTGGACAGCAGCTCAGGGCACAGCTCAGGCACTACTGGAGTAAAGGCCAGACCCTTTGCTGTGTCTCCAGTGCTGTGTGTCTGCTGCAGCAGCCAGCCATGTGCCCTGGGCTTGGGAAACAGCCCGTGCAAACAGGGAGTTAGAGCCAGGCTCCCTGCAGGGATAAAGTTCATCTGTGACGTCCTGGTGGCCCTGGCAGTGTGCTCAGAGCTGTGGCACAGCTGGCTTGGCTGTTTGGCTGGTGTGGAGCCCTGGCTGTACCTGCAGGCATGGCAGGGGCACACAGGGGCTGTGTTGAGGTCTCTCAGTACACTGCATTCTGGGCTGAGGCAGGAGAAGGGTGAAGGCAGGAATTCAGGCCAGCACGTGGGCTTTGGTCAGTGCAGCTGGGGATGGCTCTGGGCAGGGGGGTGGGTGATGCTGCTTTACCCAGCACATGGCATTTGTCCTGTGTCCCTGTCAGAACAGCACCAGGCAAACCCTGCAGGCTGCTGGTACTCCTGATGGAAACTGCCTGGGTAGCCAGCTCTCCAAATTACCCTGCTGTTCTCCAAGGCACTTGGAATTTCCTGAAGACTGTTTCCCTTTCTGACTAACCATTGCAGACAGGGGTTTGCAGATTTTTGCAGAGTATGCACAGGAGTATCTATGGGACTTTGATCTTCATCTCCAGTAGAGCAGGAAAACTAAAATTCAACTGTTGTAGGAAAGTCTGAGAGCCCCTTTTCAGCTTCAGGGTATCCAAACCAGCAGAGATTCTCCTGGATTTCGTGTCTGGCTGTGGGACAGCAGATTTCAGTCTGTCATCAGGGACCAATATTTGATGTTCCTGCTGGGCACAGAGGCCCTCATTAGCTCTGCCCATTCCACACTGCTGACCCAGATGCCAGTCTTTGAGCACCAGTTTGTACACTGGCTCCCTGTGGATGGTTGGTGGAGGTGCAGTGAGGAAGCAGAGCTGCATTTGTGTCCTGGGGCAGGAGAGGCTCCAGCCTGGCCGTGTTCAGTGAGCTGGGGGAGCACACACACCAACCCTGGGACATGGCCAGGCTGGGCAGGGCTTGGAGCAGCCTGGGACAGTGGGAGGTGTCCCTGCCCATGGCATGGGATGGGCTGTAAGGTCCTTCCCAACCCAAACCAGACTTGTGTGGGATTTCAGGAAGGTGCATTGAGCTCCTGAGTGCCACCGGGTGTTTGGCTTTGTGATGGCACGTGGTGCCAGTTATCCTGGGGATTTTACTCTTTTCATAACAAGGAATGAAATGCTTTGAAGCACCAGCTTAAAGGCTTGTGGATGCTGATATGGTTATTGGACTCTTGCAGGAATTACAGAAGCACCAAAGTTGTGTTGAGCCTGTTAGAAACCCCAGTGCAGACCTTCCATTTTTCCATTTGCTGGTAGAAATCCCAGTTCATGGTAGGCAGGAAAGCTGCACGAGTTACAAAACTTGGCCTTTTGGCAAGAGATTTACTTCTCATCCTTTGAGCTCCAGTGTCTGCAAAATGGATATAGAATAGCTCCTACTTTGTGGACTTGCAACATGAGCCAATTAATTAATGTTTTGAGTAGAAAAAGCTGCTCCTGGGGCAGTGAGTGCTTTAGAGGCTGCATGACACTGCAGGGTTGGCTTCTGAAGGATTGTTGTGCCTCTTAGACAGGTGGGTTATGTGTTCCCCGTGTCCCTGCAGAAATGCTGTTCACTCACAGTGTGTAATGTCTGTTTGTGTCTCACCAGGTATCGTGGAAGATTACAAACCACCCTTTTATGACTTGGTTCCCAACGACCCCAGTTTTGAAGACATGAGGAAGGTGGTCTGTGTGGATCAGCAGAGGCCCAACATTCCCAACAGATGGTTCTCAGACCCGGTCAGTGTGGGGCTGGTGTCTCTGGGACAGTCCTGGAGCTGTTGCACGTTCACTGCTGGGGGATCTCGATGGCCTCAGCAGGCTCTGAGAGCATCCCTGCCTGTGCAGGGCTTGGGATGTGCTGGCCTGGCTTGGGGGGCCCTGAGCCCACTGACCACTGCCAGGCCTGAGCTGGCCACAGATGGCCCTTCCAGAGCATGATCCAGCAAAACCTGGCAGCTGCTCCTGCTGGGGCACTTCTCCCTCCCAGGGGAGAGAAGCTGGTCCAGGGCTTTCTGTGGCCTGCAGGCACACACAGCAGAATGCTGGGCTCTCCTGCCTGCAGGACAGGGGCTGTTCTGTTTGAAAGACTGATGCTCAAGTTTATTTTTCTTCATCGGTATCAGTGTGGCCTCTCCAGGCTGCCCAGCTGTTTTGTCCTTACCCCTGGAGCTGTGGAGGCCAGTCTGAAATCTGCAGGGCTGGGCAGGGCAGAGGGCCCATCCTGAGGTTTGAGTGTGGAGCTGTGCCCTGTGCTGGGAGCCCAGCCAGTTAAATCTTGCTGGGCATGATGAAATCACAGGCAGAGCTTCTGTGCCTGCTCAGCTGCCTTCGTGGGTCTGCAGGAGCTGGTTTCATTGAAGAGAAATTCTGTGTAGTGTTTGCTCAGTTAGCAAAAACCCCAACACTCCGTTGTTTAAAGTTAAACTAGCTGGTCACTCCAGTCAGCCCATGGGCCAGTTTGCTTTAATCAGATTATCAGACCTCAGGAGCTTTTCAAAGCATGGAAGCTCTGTGTTTGATTCATAGTGGGAAGCTGTGAAAATGGAGTGTTCCCTAGGCAATGAGAGCTCTGTGTGAGTGCTTGGCCCCGGGCAGGGCTCCCTTGGCTCGTTGTTTGTGCCTGACCCTGTGCTGTTTGCTTCTGTTCTTCCCCAGACGCTGACATCCCTTGCCAAGCTGATGAAGGAGTGCTGGTACCAGAACCCCTCGGCCAGACTGACAGCCCTGCGCATCAAAAAGACTTTGACCAAAATTGACAATTCCTTAGACAAACTGAAAGCTGACTGTTGACCTCTCCTCGTGGTGCTGTCCCAAGGAAGGCACTTGGCTGGCCCAGAGGGCTCTGGCCAGGCAGTTCCTACCCCTGGTCCCCAAGGGCTGCTTGGAGCAGGAGTTTGGGAGCAGCTGGGGGAGCCCTGGCCGTGCAGGACCTCACCTGAGGACTCAGCTGGATGTGCTGTGGCTGAGCTGGTGGCCTGAAGGAAGACAGAGAAATCCTAAGACAAGATCAGGGCATTAAACAATGGCTTTGAACAGCTTTTTTTCTTTCTTTCTTTCTTTCTTTCTTTTTCTTCTTTTTTTTTTTTCTTTTTGGTTTTTTTCCCCCTTTTTTTTTTAACATTTTATTTTAATTCTCCTAATCACTCCCAGGGTGAACACATGGAAGTGGTAAATTTTAATCAGCAATATTGCCTGTGCTTCTCTTCTTTATTGCACTAGGAATTCTTTGCATTCCTTACTTGCACTGTCACTGTTAATTTTAACGACATGACTTGCCAAAAATATGATTGGCTGTATCCTGCATTGATCTATGCCTGAGTAATAGGAAAAGAATTTGGTAAACTGAAAATGTAACTGTCAGACTTTAGCTGCATTTTACATGTGTACTGATGTTTACAATAATGCTGAACATTAGGAATTTCTTGTTTATCCAAAACTTGCAAATTATTTATTACTAGTGCACTTGCCAGTTTTTTAAACTGTAAAATAAGTGCATAAAGTTAAAGCTTATTTTTATGTGGCCTCTTTCATGATTTCTTACACAGACGTTTTTGTAACACGATATAACCTGAAACATTAATTGTTTTCTGTATTATCATATTACAACTCGATAGTCACATTTTAAGTGCTTCACATTTGTAGGTGTGTGGTCTGTACCATATTTTCAGTTGGAATATGGAACGTATATTATAGCCATTTCCCACAGGACCTTGTGTCTGGCATCTTACTCATCTGGGAAAGGAGAGCAATGGAGGAGTTAACTAGAATATTAGGTCATGAATGCTGTGGGGAAAATGCATTTTATTTCTTCTAAGCTATATAATATGCATTTAAACTCTGCCAGAAAAATAACTATTTTGTTTTAATCTACTTTTTCTATTTAGTAGTTATTTGTATAAATTAAATAGAATGTTTTCAAGTCAAACGTTGCAGTGTTTTAGTTGTGTTCAGGTGCCCCCGTGGGGACCCTGGGCTGTCCCTGGTGGCTTCTCCTGCCCTCCCAGGGTGCTGAGGCTCCAGAGGGGCAGCAGGGAGGAGCAGGGTTCTCCTTGGGCATGGCCCTGGCCATGTCCCTGTCCCCAGCCCATCCGTGTCCCTGTCCCCCAGCCCTGGCCATGTCCCTGTCCCCCAGCCCTTCTGTGTCCCTGTCCCCCAGCCCATCCGTGTCCCTGTCCCCCAGCCCTGGCCATGTCCCTGTCCCCAGCCCATCCGTGTCCCTGTCCCCCAGCCCATCCGTGTCCCTGTCCCCAGCCCATCCATGTCCCTGTCCCCCAACCCATCCATGTCCCTGTCCCCAGCCCACGGGCACCAAGGGTTCTCTCTGCACCCTCCTCTCCCTTCCAGCTCCTGCAGGAGCCCAGCAATGGCAGTGCCCTCTCATCCTTGGCAAAGAGCTCCTTTATTCATCAGCGGGATCCGGGGCTCTGGGCAGGGATCAGCCACTCCCCACCTCCTGTCCGGGGTAAAACCCTCCTGAGGTTCCCTCCAGCACTTCAGGTGCAGCAGGTTCTGCTGTGCTGCCTGTCTCAGGTTCCTCCTCAGCCCATCCTCCCTCGTTCCCAGTGCTGGTTCAGGAGCTGAGTGATGGGGTGGCTGCTGCCTGGGGCTGAGAGACTCAGGTGAGTGTGGAGCCTGAGCTGGCACCAGCTGCCTGCTCTCTAATGATATGGGATGAGAAGAAACTAGGAGAAGTGGGATTCAATGAGTTTTCCTCTTAGTTTGTAACAGGAATTCAAATGCCTGAATGTGTTTTGGTTTGGTTTGTGTGTGAGCTGTGGGATGTCAGTGGCACAGGGGTTGGACTGAAGCTGCTGGCAGGGTGGAGGTCGCTGGTGGCAGGTGCAGCTGCAGGGTGGGGAGTGCATTGCTGGAGCTGATAGTGGGCACTGCCTGAAGCTCTGCTGTGACCCCGGCGTTTCTGTAAGAGCTGATGGAACAGGCAGCAGGGTTAAACCAAGTGGGAGGCAAGGCAGCTCCTGTGCAGGTGCTTGGGGTGAGGCCAGCAGGGATGTCTGGACAGGCTGGGGTGCTGGAGGTGGCACTGCAGACAGAGGGACAGGCAGAGGTGGCAGTCCAGTGTGCAGTGTGAGTTTAGTGTATGGTCAGCGTTTTGGTTGGAGTTTTCACCTCTCGAGTGTTTTCCAGTGCAGCGCTTGGGGGAGGGAGACAATCTGTCGTGCTGAGGGTTAGTGACAGCTCTGGCTGTGCTGGTGGAAGCTGGGCTGAGTCCCTCAAGCATTGCCACTGAGTCACAGCATCTTACTGGCCATTAGGAGGGTGGCCCTGTTAAATACCTGCTCCAGCTCTTTGCACTGTAGCATCCTCTGTAAAGTGCTGTGTTCTAGAACAGCACTGCTGCAGCCTGGGAGCAGCTCTGGGTGCTCCACAGGGTCCCTTTGGATTTGGGTTTTCCAGCCCCAGCCCTGGGGCTGTCAGCTGTGCTGGGGCTGCTTGGGATGCTGCAGGATACGGGCCTGCAGCAAGAACACCACGGTTCTCTCTCCACCCCCTGTCAGGGAGTTGTGCAGAGCCAGAAGTTCCCCCTGAGCCTCCTTTTCTCCAGGCTGAGCCCCTTTCCAGCTCCCTCAGCCTCTCCTGGTGCTCCAGCCCCTTCCCAGCTCCGTTACCTGCCCTGGACACGCAGGGGATAATGGACTAAAGGATAAGACCACAGCCCATAGGCACACCCCAGTAATACTCTCTATCCTCTGTTAGGTAAAGGAGATTATCCAGAAAAGCCTCTGGCAGGGTAACAGAGTCTGTCAGTGCAGAGTCCTGGGCACCCCTGGGAGTGCTGGGCAAGGTCACTGCTGCTCCCAGGACTGCCTTCTGCACACCAAAGCATCCAGGGCTCATTTTAAATTTCACTTTCACCTCCTGCTACTGAAGAACAACTGATGCAGGCATTGAATGAACTATCTGAAGTGTTAGCAAGTGTGTGCTGGAATTGGGTCACTATTTGGCAAATGTGAATCAAGAAAGTGAAAAGGAAAGTAATCATTGGGAGTTATTTCTTAGCAAGTTCTCATCCCTTGACTTGGGAGAAGTCATTCAGCACTGTGCTGTCCTAATGTACAATTACTGCTGAGGGCACTCAGGTCTGTGCTGCCCAAAGGCAGTGGGAATAGCTGGGTTCCCTCCTGGCAACTGGAGTGTGGCAGCCTGGGAGCAGAGCAGGGAAAACTCAGTGACAGCAGGGAAGTGTTATCTGTGTTTTGTGTGATTTAACCTCGTTTCCACGTGTCTGGACAGTCACAGCAGAATATTTGTTGCTGCCTTTCCTGGAGGTGTCAGGGTTGGGGCATTGGGGGAGGTTCCAGGTGAAGGGAACACCTCAAGCCTCCCACGCTATTGTTCCAGCACGTTCATTAATCGCTGTTCCTCAGTACCTCCACAAAAATCTAATCTTCTAAAGAGATTTGGAATTGTTATATTTAATCTGCTGCAGTAAGGGCGTCGCAGCGGTGATTACTATGGCGATGGCACAGGCAGTTCCCTCTCTGGAGCTGAATTATTCATGTGTCTGGCGGGTTTGCACTGTGCCAGCCAGGACAGAGCTGCTCCAGCGCTGCCTGCTCTGCTCACAGGGGGCCCCGAGTGTTAAAACAGCTTTACTGAGCAGCCAGGCCTGTGGCACTCAGCTGTCCTGCTGCTGGGGACAGTCCCCAGCAGTTACAGGAGCAAGACTGGATGGAACCAGAGGTGTGTCAGGTTTTGAGGGCTACAGGAAATGCAGATTTTTGTTTCGATTTCTCTGTTGTCCAGAGAGGCTGTGGCTGCCCCATCCCTGGAAGTATCCAATGCCAGGTTCAATGGGCTTGGAGCAGCCTGGGACACTGGAAGGTGTCCCTGCCATGGCAGGATTTTTCTTCTTCTCCTGGGTATCATGGAGAGATTTTTTTAAAAGGGTTTTTTGAGTGTTTTTTGGTGGCTTTCATGGCATGGAAAAGGTCACACATACCTTCCTCTCATCCCTGTGTATTGTTCTTCTGTTCAAGCTCAGAGATAAGCCATGTGTCAACTGTGAGAAACTTCCAGAAGGAAATCATACCTAGCAAGGCCAGGGATTTTTTGGTTAAAGACATTAAAACTTGCAGTCATCTTTGGATCTTAAGAGATGATGACACCCTTAGTGTGCTGCCAGCTGGAGTCAGGAACTTTGCATCGCCCCAATCTCCTCCCCCGTGTGACTGCAGCAGTTTTCTCCAATTTTCACCACCCAAAAAATCCTTCTCCCGTTTCATAAATACTTCAGATTCACGGCATAGATCTCTTTTCATTCTTGGAATGTTCTGGAAAACCTGGAGCCTTAAAATGCGATCTGGTTTTGTGCCTGCAGTTCTGTTGGCTGGTTGGTTTTCTGCTCCAGGACTGGCAGTGCCAGGGGCAGCTGGTGCTGGCCATGGGCTGGGGAACCTGTGAGCCCAGACAGGGCTGGGGGAGCCTGTGAGCCCAGACAGGGCTGGGGAACCTGTGAGCCCAGACAGGGCTGGGGGAGCCTGTGCAGCCCAGACAGGGCTGGGGAACCTGTGCAGCTCACACAGAGCTGTCCCTGCCCTGTCCCTGCCCTGTCCCTGCCCAAGGTCCAGCACTGACCATGAGCCTGAGGCGGGCATGGCCCCGGATCAATGCCAGGGGCAGAGGTCACTCAGTTGTGTTGCAGCTCACCCTCAGTCCTCGTTCATACCTGGGCCACATTCACTCTGTCACTCTGTCACTCTGTCACTCTGTCACTCTGTCACTCTGTCACTCTGTCACTCTGTCACTCTGTCACTGTCACGTCTCTCGTGACCAGGTTCTATGGGAATCTGAAACACGTGACAGTCCCTCTCCCCTGGGAGAAAAGACACTGACACCAATGAATAAAAAAAGGGATTTTGCTGTTTCTAATTGCTGAAGTGACAGAACCTGGAATTGTGTCTCGTCTGCAAGCTCTTTGAAAAAACATTTGCAAGAGAAACTTGACACATTTCCATGTTCTCTGTGTCTTTTGCTCTGTTTTATGAGGATCTTGAATTCACATTAAACCTTTAGCAAAAGGGCTCTGGCCCTCTCCTTTATTCTGACTTGGTGCCTTTGGCCATTCCAGCCATCACCAGTGGATGGTTCAGTTTCCCTGTTGCTGCTTCTGCCAAATCTCCTCTGACTCCCTTGGGAGATGGTTCCAAACTGGAAACTTCCCATTGGAGATTTGGTGGGTTGGGCTGAGGTAGAAGGGATGTCCTGGATCCCTGGCAGTGTCCCAGGCTGGGCTGGACAGGGCTGGGAGCAGCCTGGGACAGTGGGAGTGTCCCTGCCAGTTCCCTTCCAGCCCAGCCCATTCCATGGTGAAATTCCTCGTTAACTGCACCAGTGCTCACTCTTCGGACACTTCTCATGCTCAAACACTCCAAGCAGTTCCATTATTACCCTCCTCATCACAAAGGCTCAGTGTGAATGTTCTTTTCAGTGGATTTATGGGCTGGTGTGTATTCGAGCTCAGAGCCATAGGAAGCAGCCTCTGGGGAGGGGGTGACTGAAGAATTATAAAATGTTTCTTGGAACAGTTTGGGAATCTTTTACCTCTTGTTCTAATTGCCACAGTCAGCAATACAATGCTTTTGCAGGAATATATCATTCTGATGGGAAATTTTTGGATAGTTTTATGGCATTTCTGGATGAGCAGAGTGGGACTAAGGGAGTGCAAGGCCCCTCTGTGGCCAGGGCACGGATGTGGGAGGCAGAGGAGCAAGGGGAGGGGGAACTGCTGACCTGCTGCCCATGCCGGGGTGTTTGTGCATTCCCTTTGGTTTCTCTTGCACAAAATTTCAGTAGATCTTGGTTTTGTCCTGATGTGGAGCAAAACAAATTACAAAACAAAATTCTTGGGTTTTGGCCAACTCTGTAAGTGCTTCCAGTTGACAAAAGTTTCTCTGGTGTTACCTA